GCCGATGTGTGGTGACGACTTCACAGCCCCAAGTGAAACGATTGGAATTATAAATAGTGACCATCGCCCCCCTCTCCCGCTACCGCGAAAAACTTGGCAAGACGCTGCTGAAAAATAGCAACCTGCTGACCTCAGTTCGTTTCCCGGTCATGGCGAATACAGTTTGAGTCACGAGCGATAATCTGAATCTGTTCCTGGGCCTCACCAATTCACGAACCTGCCCGGCCTGACAGGCGTGGTGAAGTATGGTCAAACAATCAATCAACGCAGAAGTTGGAAGGCCGTCGTTCAACAAAGCTGCGAATTAAAACGATATATATAAAAAAAACTGTACGCATCTTTTCCGCGTGCTGAAATAAATAAACTGAACGGCACTGTCTTTGTACAAAGATGGCACTGTCATCCGAGAATGACTGCCAACAATACATGTAGTTAGTTGAGGCATTTACCCGATATTCATGAAGACACATTTACGATGTCCGCGACGGCTTGGGCAGTCCTTCATTCAGAAGTGGATTCACCATGGCCGATGAAAATGATGGTGATTAAACGGTATATACATATATAGCTATTAACCACCCATTCTCGCTCCACCGCTTTCCCATAGCAGCAGAACCAATAACGCTGGCACTGCAATAACTCATGTTGGTGCATCTGTTCACAATAACTTTAGGCGTTCTATGTGCAGGCAGCGAACGCATATTTGAAAGATTTTAATGCAATCTGGTCATTGAGTCATCGCCTGCCAAAAAGTCTAGCAAGTGGTTTAAGACCGAAACTGGAGGATTTCTCCACAACTCTGGCTGTCGCCTGATGAGACTGGTTGTAATTACTGGCAAAACGTCGTGCTCGTATTGTAAATGTTGTGGGTTTACTCTCCAACACACCGGTGTGCTGAACTTGTAATGAATTTGGCACGTTTTGTTTACGTGACAAACCACCCGGCTGTGTCGGGTGGTGGCGGGTTTAACGACACGTTTCATATTTACGTGATATCACCCGCAAAAATCTATATTATGGATAATATCGGTCGCGAAAGCCGACTACGTGTTAACATTATTTAAAAGGACGCGCGCACATTCTATTTGACCAAAGCATCAGTCCAGGAAGGCCGCACTTGGCTGGCTGCTGCTGCTGATCTCAGAACCTCGTGGTTCGAATTCCGTTGACGTGCAGGAGGTGAGAAGTACATGTTGAATTCATTCTCTTAAGTTGGGCATTATTATTATTGTGCGACTGACAAAACCCAGGCGATGTATAATGTCTTGGAAAGAATTAAGGAGGGTCCAAACCCGAGCAAGCAGTTGCACCAGTTGGTTACATGCTACTATATGCTACACTGAAAACTACTTAATTTGACCAGGTAAGGCCCCAACTTAGCTACGTAGCTCTTTGTTCAGGAGCGACTTGGCCATCACAAACGATAGCTCAACGAAGTGGCTTATCGCGTGGAAATATATTGCAGCTAAAATACTCCACGAAACGCGTGACGTTGATTCTAAATAGTCGTGGCGCAGAAGAAAAATAAACCCCCACGCTCTGCCCGGCAGAACACGAATTGTGACCACGAGGAGATGATTGGCCAACCGCTTCGTAACTCTGACACAGGTGGCAAACAAAGACAAAGATCCCTCGTGTAGCCTGTACCAGACTGTTGGGGCAAGTGCTGTTAGCGAGCAGCAGCAGCAGCAGCTAGGAAGGCCGGACACAGGTGGCACACGCAGCGTGGCGATGCTGTGCCGACTCTCCTCGGACCCCGTTCTGAAACTTGTCTGGTTTTTAACATTCACCCAGTCATGGGCTCCGATGCGCGCCCCCGGTATTAATAGACGCACGCGTACAGCCGCCGTCGTCTCAATCCACTGCAAGATTAGGGCCACCCCACGGCCTGCAGGGCATGGGCTACGAGGTGGGGGTGGGGGGTTGACCATACTTCACCACGCTGGGGAGTGTGGGTTGGAGAAGATTAGGCGTAACGACACGGGAGCATAGAAGAACAACGGATTTTGCTGCACTGTACTCTGCCTCCCACAACGTGGCACCACGCAGCTTATAACACCTCTCATGCACGGCGGTCGCCCATTCAAAAAGCACTATCCAGCCGCAGGGCTGCTTAGCTTCTGAGGTCTTAACGAGATCGGGGCGCAAAAACCCCGTTGTTGTCCTGTACTTCTGTGCTCTCTATACCGCTCACCTTCACCAACCAGCACGAAACAGTGTGGTCAACTAACCCCCACGACCCATCACGGCGTGGGGAGGCCCTCATCCAGCCGTGGATTGACAATGGGGTTCCACGTGGACATTTACAAACATGCCCGTGGCATACAGGGCCCGACATAAATTAACTGGCATGGCATCATTAGACGTAAGACACTGTGTGGCGGTGTCAAATACAATAAATTTGAAATGGATTTTGAATCGGGGAAAAAAATGCCCTAAGGCTGACATCATTGCTTTCTGGAATTAAACTTCAACTGCTTAAATGTCACCAGCAAAAAAAAGATTATCCACTGCGGTCTAAATATCCCCTTTCCTGAAACGTGAATCCGATGCGGTGGGTTTTTTTAAACCAGTGGTGAGGGTTTCAGTTCACAACTTACGGGACCTGGACTGGTAGTCACAGGAACGAAGCGTTGCTGTGACTACACAGACGAGACAAAGATCCCCCGTATAGCCTTAACAGACTGTTGGGGCAAGTGCTGTTAGCGAGCACCTATGAAAGCAAAAACGGTACACGAGGGGGTGGGTGGCCAGCACCACGCCCAGTCGCCTTTGTCTCCATAGTGGCGATGTTTACACACATCAGGTACTCATTTGGGGCTGAGTCGACCTAGCGGAGGCCCAGGACCGATTGCCCGTGAGTGGGAATCGAACTTGGGTAGTCGGGTTCATAGCGCAGCGTGCTAACCGCTACTCTACCGCTCCCCACTGTGACTACACACACACTCACACAGCCGATGACTTCGCTGAACAAAACCACATTGGTGCTTGGAAAAAATCGGCACACATTTTTTATAAATTAGTCATTGTTGACAAATGTTCAGAGGTTGGGCTATGATGCAGGCAGGAAGTGGCTTGGCATTGAAATGTCACAGGGTCTCGAACATCCCTCAATGTCCTCTACCCTGCAACCAGGACAACTATGGAAGAGCCGAACAAACTCATTGTGGCGAGATGTTAACACCCTCGGCCTGGTGTTCAGGAGGTCGTGGGTTTGAGCCCTCCCCTGACGCTTGTATATTTGTAGTTTGCGTCTCTCTCTCCCCGTGGATTTTTTTCCGGTTCCTCCGGTTTTTCCCTCCATATTTAGAAACATGCGTTTGTTGTATTTGGCTGCTATAAATTTCCGCACGATAAGCCACTCTGTTGAGCTATCATTTGTGGACAGGTCGCTTCTAAAAAAATAGCCATATAGCTCAGTGGGCTTTACCAGGTAAATCTACGTGCGGTTCTTAATGAGATTAAATGTTTGCTCGGGAAATACAACTGTAAATTAAAAGGTCAGGTTTAGAAATCATCATGCTCAAACCTTGTCTATTCACCTCTTGTTTAAGGCCTCCCCACACCATTACCATTACTAACGGGCCTGCGATGCCACAATCTACCTCACTCCTGCACATTAACTGGTCTCATCACTCCATCTCTGCGGTAGTGACTCTCTCCAGCGCGATGTCTCCTTCGGTTGCCTTTCCACCACCAGCTTGTCCGTATGCCGTCATCCCTTACAGTCCTGACCCGTCCTGCCCAATGCCGCGAATTTTCCTTAAGGCAATGTGTCTATCACCGATTTGAAATCTTTACCTTACCCATACGCTGCTCATTCTCTCGGTGCAATGTCAGCCAATGTTTCTGCTCCACATCGTAGCAGGTAATGTGTACCGAATGAAAACGTTTTTTTTCATTAAGTCATGGCAGGCATGTTGCTTTTCATTATCACATTCGGATTTCCATTAAAGGGCTCCAGCCTCCAAAGGATGACCTGGGGATCGCTGGCGATGCGTTACGCTGACTTCCCCAGCGGCCCTTGGGGTTCATTGTTATTTGGTGCTGGGCACCGGTTGCTCGATTCCAGGCCGTGTCGAGGTGATGCCCCCCCTCCTCTACCTCCCTCACGGCTCCCTGCCATGACTCAACCCACTCTCATGCATTTATTTTTTGGCAGCGTCTCGAGATGCTATTGCATTTAGGCGCGATATACATTCAAATTGTTGCTGGTGGCTGTTGGTGAAAGGCTTGGATTGAGAACTGCATCCGTTTCCACCCAAATGTCATTGTATATCAACTCATACCTGAAATCTCCATCCTCGCATTTCAGTCACGAGTACGTCATTCCACTTAACCTAGATTTTACATTTTAGATATGAACCGACACCAGTTCACAGGTCCACTCTTACGAAATATGCCGCAGGGTCTTTAACGTCGTCCACTATTGCAGTTTATGGCGAGTTTTGCCAAATGTTTACACAGATTTTAAGCTAACCAAGGAATCATGATTGTTGACTTTGTGCATGCACGAGGCTGTTCAAACACTCAGGACAGCTCGCAGGGCACGCGTAGCTAACACTGCAGCCCATGAGGTGTGACTCAAAGCAAAACAATTGCCACCTCAATGACTAGCACAGGACAAGGTCCCGCATACACAAACTAACTAAAGACAAATACCCCACGTATAGGCTTAACAGACTTGGAGCAAGTGTTGTTAGCGAGTTGCACCTCTGAAGGCCGGCATGGCACATAAGGCAGTAGGGGCCTACGCCATGCTGCCTTTGTCTCCCTAGTGGCAATGTTGAATCATCACACCAGGTACTCATTTGAGGCTGAGTCGACCTAGGGGAGGCCCAGGACCGGTTCAGATAATCAACACTGGTGTTGGCCGTGAGCGGGAATCAAACTCGGTCGCCGGGTTCATAGCACAGCGCGCTAACCACGACACTAAACTGTGAACACACACACACACATTTGTGCATTGTTTTAAAATACTAACAGCAGTACCACGTGGATCGATTTGAATCTAAAAGCTACGTTTATTTTGCTCTGCGCTGGAGCTTATGGTAAAACGTTTCCAACACAAAGATGCGGTAACAATGGAACAATTTTATTGATCTGATATAATAAATATTATTTTCAAAAACATAACCTGTTCTCTTAACATTAGAATATTCACGCTTTCGGTTTTTAAATGTAATTACACTCAACGTAGCTTAATGTCACTCCTTACAGCATGTAAAAATTACGTCAAGTGATGGAAGCAAAAATTCTTACATAAAAAAAGCAGGCATGTATTCGCTCGTTCTCTCAGTGGCAACAATGTGCATTGAAAGTGTCCCACGTGACTGAACGGTGACAACCCCAGGGGGGTTGCCGGACGATTAGAAAACGAACATCGAGGCGAATCAAAGAGACTATAATCACCCCTTGCGAGGCGATCAAATTCCACGGTTCATAATTGCATTTTAAAAGTTTTTCCCATGTTTTTAACACTCACGATTGTGTTTTTTGTGAGATAGTAAAGCAGCACATTGTTGCAAAAGCATTGTCGTGTGCAGAGCACCATTCTCATAAAGGCCCCATCAAGATTACGCTAGAATCACACGCTCGCTAAAGAACTTACGCTGTTTAAAGAGGGGAATTTATTTTTGGTGTTGCTCAGAAAATAATCAATAAACCGGGTAGCAATCACACCCTAAAAAGCTGCTTAAATCTAATATTCAAGTAAAATCGTGTTATGACGACAGATATGGCTGGAAAGGTGGTTAGAAAATCTACTTTTATCTGCATTTTTTTTTTACACAATGAAACAACAGAGTGAAAGACAAACTGTCATTACCACAGGATGTTTAACGACCCCAAATAGTCGGGTGTTTACACATCGGTTATTCTGTAGCCCTGCTGCAATGGGTAGCTTGTTGTTATTACAACACAAAAAACAAAGTTGTTACAGTACGAAATTTACACAAGGTACCCAAAATAAAATTTGCCTTCACCGAAATTATTTTCATTGGGAGTCGTTATAACGGGATTTTACTGCATTCATCACAATGCCCACATTTATCAGAATCCGGTAGACGCAACGCCAAACGTACGGCACTCTGTCGACGATTCCCAAATATCGTCCCTTTATGCTCGAGCATCAAGGGGCAGCACCCCCCCCCCCCCAAGCCAACAAAACAACGTGCCAACTAAGTTGCCCCCAGAGTAGCACGCGGTCCCCCGCCTATGCCTCGTTCACGACAGCATTCATTTCAACAGCTGACAAGGGGGGGGCCGCCTCCCGTCGTTCGCGGTGGTTCAAACCATCGACCCGAACGCTGCGAGGAACCTTCAACGCAGTATAACACTGGCTGGTCCGAGCGATAATAATTTATAAAGATCACACAGCTACTTGTCGATACCGTTAAACAATGAGAACATCTTGAGGTGGCGGGGGAGGGGGAGGGCAAAACGCACTTCACAGCGACTTAAAACGGAACAAGCGTCTTGTCTAATTGCCCGTTAAGAAAGACGCCAAGTGTGGAACCCCAATCGAGTGCACTGCTTGCGATGACTTTTTTTCTATTTTTTTTTTTTTTACCGCGAGACCAAGAGACAGCGAGTGGGACAGCCCAAAGCCCCTGCGCATGCAAAAACGTGCCGCCGTCGCACCGTCGTCACGTCCACACGCGGCCGTGGCAGCGGTGCGGCGCAGGTGAAGGTTTTTTATTTATTTATATAAAATAAAATGAACACCTCCCGCGCCTCTCAGACGACGTCCGCTCGCTTGTCCCGCATCTTGCTGCGCGCCTTCGTGCGCGCCTTGAACGTCGCGGAGTTGAACATGTGCTGGCGAGGGGGAGGCGGGGTGGGCGGTAGGGAAAAGGGAAAAATGAATTGCCATTAAAAGCCACGCTCGCGCTGGAATAAATCCTTTATTTATAACAAAAGTGACAAGCCATTGAGTCTTGAAATCGCTTTTTCAACAGAGTCTAAGAGTGGGGTTTTTTTATGGTACCCTTATGTAAATAATTTATATGAACAACCACTAACCAACCACCACTCACGTGTCGAGCGGAAGTTTTGGCTCTAATTAACCCACAGCTCAGGACGGCAGGAGGGGGGGGGCGCTTTGCAAGTATTCGGCCAAGGGCAATCCCTTACATGCTGGCAATACTCTCGACTGTGACCATAAATGGGCGTGCATAGTGTGCAAGCCAGATGCAACGGTCGGACTGGGGTGCTTTCGCAAATCTCTGCTCCCCTCTGCGCGGCACTGTGCTGGAAGAGAGCGCGCAAACTCACGCGCTCGAAGCGAGAGATTTTCGTGGTCTTCAACATCGACGGGTCCAGCAGCAGAGGAGGTCCCAGCTCAAAGATGTCCCGCAGCAGTTCATTCTCCTGGACAAAAATGTATATATTTAACAAGGCTCGGCAGAAAACAAACAAAAAAAACACACAACACATGACAATTTTAATTAAATTCCTTCACAACGGTTTTGGCTTGTAATTGAACTAGAGGACGATCGTTTTTTGGTGGTCGATGGCGTGCGTTGTACGCCCCCACACACATGCACAGCAATTGAGAGCCGTTCATGAAGACCTGGGAACAGTCACCCAGCCCGCATGATAGCCTTGTTTAAAAGGCACTTTCCTTCATTTAATAATTGTACAACAGGGCGGGAGTGAGCGAGCTTATAAGGTAGCACTCATTACACACAATTTCTTGCCACAAATGAACCGCAATAGCGCTGGCTGATCTTGTCATGTAGCATAAACCATTATATTAGCTCCAGTCATCCTCACAGCGGCTTTTGGCTAGTCATCCAACAAAGACAGTCATCGCATCGCACGCTTTGTGATGCCCTTCTGCGGCCGTCTGGAACGCTCTTCCTTCCGTCATTAGGAAGCGACTGGAGCTGTGCACTTTTAAATGTATATTGAAAACTCATTTCTTTAGAACTGCTTGTTGTTGTGTTTAGTTTGTTGCTGTTCTTCCCCCGCACCTCCCATTAGCACGGTTGGCTGTGCGCGGTGCGAAAGAAGTTCAACGTGCATACACACACACGCACGCACACACCTGGAGGTGCAGCCGGACCCCCGAGCCCAGCGCGTCCTTGAACGCGTCGTACGTGCGCTTCCTCAGCCAGCTGTCCACGTAGATGCACTCCGGCCCGAAGCGTATCGTCTCCGACGGTGCCTCGCCCTCCTGGGCAACGCAACAAATGGAAAGCCAACAACATAAGGAGGCTTGCCAAGTGACCGACGGGGAAACGGGCCCCTTGCTGGCTGACAGTGGGCGGCAGTGGCGCCGAGTGTGGAGACCAGTTTGGGAGTTTTGAGACTGTTGCACGTTCTACATTAATGATACAAACGCAAGCTACGGCGAAAGGGTCAAAACGAAACACATTTTGCCTTCAGCAAGGGGAAGAAGAAGCGACGGTGTTAAGATACACAACCGGTTTTTTTTTGTTGTTAATCCAATAAACCTTCAAAAGCATTTCTCTTTGTTTCAGCGGGGGAGGGCGCAGGAAGCGAGCAGCAACTCGGCATGGCTTATATCTTCCACCAGCACTGCCAACAGACAAGGGTTGGGCTGAAGGGCAACGAATGACCTATTGATTTATCTTAAAAAGTGCATTCAGCCACAGCCACCGGGGAACCACGGCTGTGGCCCGAGGAGGCCCCTAACAGTAAACATCATGCACTCTGCAGGCTCGTGGCTTCATTGCACCACAAACGCTGCCCTAGTGCACTCGCCGCGATCATTTTTCAGATTCCACAAAAGACGTGGTGGGGGATGGGGGGGGGAAAGCGGATGGGGGTGATGGTGCACGGGTGGGCGAAAATGAATACGAATGTGCGGCAGTACAGCCATATTGCTTAACCTTTGTAAAGGACACTGGAAATGGAGCTGCCGAGCAGCGCCGGTGAACTCTGGTTACGCAAGCGGCGTGTCCCAGCGTGACACTCGTCCACATTGACGCAATGCCCTGCCCCCCCCCACCCACCAATCCCCCACCCTCCCCGGTACAGTGGAGCCGCCGTGTATGTTTCACATGAGCACTCACAGCTAATCGGCGGAGGAGTGCCGCCCATTATGTGCAGGGACCGTACAACAATCTCATGTTCTGTCACTGAATGATATATAAAGTCGTCCCTCTTTCAATATACTGCTGGTGTGAAGGTCTCACACCATGTTGGATAAATCGGGAGTTGTTTGGTCATACTTCACCGCGCTGGTTAACGTGGGGGGGGAGGGGGGCTGGTGAAGAGAGTAATATGTAACTCTCCACCGACGTGAACTGTGGCTGGAAATGCAACCTCCGTAGCCGTGGTGTTCACAGTGCAGCGCGAAACCCACTGCACCATCGCTGCACTGCAATGGCCGCACCCCGCAGAAAACACGTACATCCGTTCATATATTCAGTTGTAAATCGGTCATACGTGGGCTCACCATAATCTCCTATTTACAGTCCTATGCCAGTGGTGGAAATTCCATGTGCTTATGGTAGGGGTAAGTTCATCTACAAGTTATGAATACCTATTGTGAGTATTTTTTTTTGACCAATTATCTGTTATGCGTTTTAAAAATTGTTTTTCCACACAATGATTGCCTGGGATATAAAAAAGTGGAAATATATAAATACGTATGATAATTAATAATTAACAATATGGTGATAACCAGCACTGGTTCATTCCTTCATCAACCCGTACTGACCAGCTTGGCGAAGTGTGGTCAAATAACCCCAATAACCGACGCAATCTGCAAAAGCTTTTGTCCAGCAGTGGACTGGCAAAGGGCTGTAAATTGATCAACACTGATGCTAGCCATGTCCCAGAACCGAACTCAGGTCACCGGGTTCAAATGGCAACGCGCTAACCACTGCACCACCACTCCAACACATATAATTGTAAATGTCAAAACATCTGAACTCCGCAGAGATGAAGGGCTGAGTCAAGCATTAACCAGGACTTGAACCCGTTACCTTCTGTTTGCGAGCCGCGTATCTTCGCTACTGTGCCATCAGATCACAAGAGTGCATACACATAAACAAAATCCGCGTTTCTATCGCCAGAGACTGACAATATTTAAGACTGTAAAATGACAATGACATTAAACAAGTGGAATCAACAACCCACGTCAATGATATTCTACTGCCATGCATTAATTCCTTGCATCACTGGTTCATCCGAGCCATTTGCTTGGCTGTATCCACTGGAGTGGACGGATGGACCACTAGGTGGTGCTCAGGATACACAGAGACCAGGACAATACATGCCATCAAAGGTTAACCTTAACATAACCCAATAAAAACCCCCACAAAACTATATTATCTAAAAGAGTAATGCATCAATCATAGCTGTCATGATACAGACTCGAACTCTCCAGTCAACCAAGTTGAGTGTTTTTTATTATTATAACATTTTGGTCTTTCCCACCTCCGATTTACTCCAATTGCAGAAATATATAATTCAATGGCAGGAGAAAAAGAATCCATTCGGAGACCCAGATTAATTCGGCACTGCTGAAACCCAAATTCGAACCCAGAATTCTCAGCGGTGCAGGCTCAGCGCTCCGACCGCTCGAGTCACCCGACCAGCAGCAGCTGCTGCAGTCGGCCAAGTTTAACGGACGCGCTACGACTCGAGTTTACAACCCTGAAATAATGGTACCGCTCTGAAACGCACACGCTCGCACGCGTTACAAGAGACGTGGTTGACATTTTTTGTTGCCCACCAAGTCAAGGTCACGCAGGGCACGCAGCCAGTACCAGTGGCACGTGCAACCGCAATCCCCTTTAATCCACGGCACCGCATTCATCTGGAGAACGCGACGCGCACGCGCGTCTAGCCAACGGCAAGCAGGTACTCACTCCAGGAATGCCGGCTCCGACTGCACAAGCCACTGTCCATTATTATAAGAGCCTGCTTATAAACCGCGTTCCAGGGCACAGAGGCTGTCTATATTTAACAGCGGCACACTCAACTCTCGCCTCCCCCGCCCCCCCACACAGTCGCTGAACACCACTCGCATTACCACGAGATGCTCATTCCTACAGGGATGGACAGTGGGCATGGGGAGGAGGGTGTGGGGGGTCCAACACAAACTACGATGCCAACCCTCATGCCAATTGGACTCGCCCACTAGCCAATGGTTATGGGGGCGGGGGAACAAAGTGGCCAACTGAGCGAGCTACCCAGCTAGCAAGCTTCAAGGCAAATATTTTACCTGCTATCTTTTCGAGCGCATCAATAACAACGACCCTCTTGGCAAGAACGCAACGGAAGAAGAAGAAGGGTGTGTGTGGTATTCGATTGCGAGTAAACAAAAGCTCCGAGAGCAGACAAGGGAGGGCGCGCGCGTGTCAGGCCGGTCTGTCTCCAGGAAATAAAAAAAAATCCCACACCCCCCCCCCCGCCCGCCCCCAAAAATGCGTGCAGTTTCTCTTTTACGTACGGGTCATATGGTGGTTGGAACAATTATGCAATTCTGAGAAAGGCCTGTCTGAAACTATACATCTCAAATGAAACAAGCTATTGAAATGATAATATACATGTAATCTTGAATAGCAAGGTGACATCAACCATCTGGTGCACATTATGCACACATCCCACATCCTCACGATGACCCCCCCCCCCACCCCGTCAACTCGAGGCTGCTACGATTTTAGCTTTTTTATATTTAAGCTAAAATGATAGCAAGGCAACTGTATGCTGGTTCCATTATTATAATTAGGGATCATCACTCAAGTACAGCCATCATTGCTCTGCTGCTGCTTTGTGAGATCACGCTTAGTTTAGGCCTTTGGATATTTTTAGCCGATGGCTATCACAAAGCTGTGTACTAAACATGTGCAAGGATGGTGATGTCATCCCGGCATGCAAAGAATGCTGGGATTCCGGCTATGGTTTGCCATTGAAGGCAACTGTGCATTTTTTTTTTCATTTCATGCTGGCTGCTGAATTTCCTCTTTATCTACAAGTTTCTTCAATTCGGTTTAGTTTAAAACAGCAAGTTAGAAGAGGCCCTCATCTAGCAGCGATTGCCAAAAGGCTCCCTTACGTCCTTTGTCAACTTAAAAATATATATTGTAATCGTGATCGTCATCCCACATCTGAGCCGAGCCAGCACGGCCGGGGCTGCTCACGGTATGGGTGTTTTTTTCACCGAGCTATTTGCTGTGCCAAGCCGGAACAAAAACTATGATCCGCTGGCTCCGCTGGCTTCACAGGAACATCTGAATCTGGCCGAGGAGGGGGGGCAAACAGGGCCAGGGGACGGGGCGAAGGACTTGTTCATTGCACGTAACGTCAGCGGCACAGCTCTCGGCTCCCGCAGTCGAAAAACAACCTGACGCCGAGCTGCGCCGGGGACTGGCTCGCCACAGCCCTGGGGCGGCTCGGTCGCACGGCGCAAAAGATGCATCGGAGGGCACAAAACTCAAACCGTACGGCAGCGTGAAAAAAACGACGACTCAAGTGTCCACAAATTCGGTTTAACACGACGGCGGTAAAAAAAAATACGGCACCTCGACGGCCTTGAGGACGTCGCGGAAGATGGCGCGCTGCTTGCGGCGGTCGGTCTTGGCGCGGGATTTGTTGCCGTCGGTGGCCAGGTCCTTGAGTTTGTCGCACAGCTCCTCCACCCCCACGTACTGGAAGTCCTGCAGTGGTCCCGCGGGTCAGTGGCCGCCCCCCCCCCCCCCCCAAAAGCCGCACATCATAGGGAGAAGACACAAGAGAATAATAGAGTCATACATCAAGGCACTTTGCGCTTCAACCTGCCCCCCCCAATTCACGACCCCGAGGAGGACGGCTGTAAGCAGATCTCACAAATGCCCTGCCGACACGCTGAGACTCGGTCTGCGTACGTACCGACACCGGTAGGGAGGGGGCTTTCTATTGGCTCTCGTCACACTCCAAGGGGGACTTTATTCACTTATTTTGGGGACCAAATATTATGAAGTGTTTAACATGATACTGAAAGACATTTAGATATTTAAGCTGAAATTGCTCTATTAGTAAAAGCATAAAACCTTCAGGTTGTAGTATTTTGCGGGCATAAATTAACAAAAAGTTGAGATGTATCTAGTTTTAAATAAAGATTGACATATTTGCACTAAATTCTTGCGCTTTTTAGCCATTCTGCATCAACATAAGCATTTATTAAATTCGTCAGTGACTGTCATAATTCCCTATCTGTATTAGGATGATAAAACTCCAAGGAGAGTCGACTGGGACGATATTCCACCGGTGGGAGCCGACGTTGCGTGCGATGCGGGCGTCTCGCTAGGCCATGGGTCGGCAACACAGAATAACGAGCCATTTTTTTTCGCAATCAGTGAATAAAAAGGAACCCAATTTTTCACGAGCCGCCATGCACGTGAATACGAGACGGTGGTCCTTAATAAATAACGTCGCGAAGCGGTCCACGAAAGAGCCGCGTGCGGCTCCGGAGATGCAAGTTGCCGAGCCCTGGTACAGGGGGATTGTTTGACCACAATTGGGTGCCACAGTGGCGAGATGTTAACTACCTCGCCTGGTATACAGGAGGGCGTGGGTTCGATCCCGACCGCGACGCCTGCTGTATATTTGGAGTTTGCGTGGTCGCGTGGATTTGTCTCCGGGTCCTCCAGTTTTTTCCCTCCACAGTTAGAATCAACATCACGCGTTTATAGAATATTTGGCTGCTGCTTTAAATGTCCACGTGACAAGCCACTTCGTTGGGCTATCACTTGTGGCCAGGTCGCTTCTGAAAAATAACTACATAGCTCAATGGGCCTTACGTTGTAAAAAAAAAAACGCTTAGTTTTAGCTTTTATACTTCACCTCACCACGTTGGTCGGTGTGGGTTGTCGAAGTGGGGGTGGTGCGGATATGAGGGGTGGGGGGTGGGTGGTGGGCAGGACCAGCTCAGATATATTACTTCAGATTCATTGCTTACCGCGTCCGCCTCATGCGCCAGCTCGAACAGCAGGGCGATGGCCTCCCCGGCAGCGATGCGCATGTTCACGTTGTCGCTCGACAGCAGGGCCGGCAGCTTGGGCAAGTGACTGCACAAAACGCGGCACCGGGGACTGCCCTTTTAGAAACCACGCTTGGAGTTTTACTATCGACGACGAGACCATTTTTTGCCGCCATCAAGACGATGAAAAAATAGGGTTGAACCTTTCCGGAAATGATACAGGAGGTGTTAAGATGTTCAAACACCAAACAGACACCTATTGCAAGGCGTCAAAGTCTGTATTAACCATAAATGCTTGTGGTAAAACATTGGATCAAAACTTATTTGATTCCTGTATGTTGAAATTATTTCGCACCGTACGTGGCCAACCGTGCTAATCGTAGGTAAAACTGATAAAGTATGCTTTAATAATGTATGCATCGCCCTTGGAACTTATTGGCCTACACCAGACTTGTGTATGATTGCCGGAAAGGGTAAAGCCTATTCTTTTTGTATCATCTTGCAGTTTTACTGTTGCTCTCCGAAGCATTTTGGGGGGTTGTACAGCACGCCGTTCAGCGTCACGTCTGACGTTTCACAACACATGCTGGGAGCTTCTTCAGTTTCCTGATGAGAAACATCAAGTCTCTCTAGCAATGAGACTCCATGAAGCCTCCAGCCGTGCAGAGTGAAATCTAGGACGTCACGCTGCACGACGTGCGGTAACTATCCGCAAACAGAGGGCGACACACCACTACCCTTAGAACCTACACATTCCTTTGTTTTTTTGCAGTGTTACATCATGTACATATTTAAAGGTAGTTTTTAGACAAAATGTGCACGTTTTCCCACTTTATAAAACATAGGTTTCATCACAAGAGACTTGTCATCTTGCCAAGCTCTCACCTGGTTATATATCGCAAAATAAAAAGCTGTACGTGTTTTTATTTATTGCATTTTCCTAAACCGTTTTTATTCACCTATATTCATTTTCCCGATGGAATTAGCTCTCTGGGTTTGACCTTAATAAATTGGCCACAACCACCAGGTGAACATGTACAATATACGTAGCTATGATCCTCAATGTCAGCATATATTTATCATTTCTGTTGGTGTCTCCCTCCATCTCTGTATCAATGTAACTCGTTTTGCCGTCAAGTGAGAATACTGGCTCAGTTCTGTTATTGCTGTTCATCATTTCCGTGTTCAGGACAAGGACATTTGACCCAACCAAAAGTTAAGACAATTTGCTAAACACTCCTTGTTTGCATTCTGACCACTAGTATATGTGGTTAATGCAGACATGATTCCTTCTAAAAGGTTTCAGTTTGGTGTTTTAACATCTTAACACCTGTTTTGTTGCCAGAAAAAAGGGGAAAAACCTATTATCACTCCTTGTTAAAGTTGCGCAATATACTAATGTGTGCGTTTAACTTGATATACATTTTACACCGAACATTTTTCCCGATTAAGTTGATATGCATTTGAAACATGACTTGAACATCGTCAAGTCAAATAAAGGACAGGCAACAACAACAAGGCCAGTTCCTTCATTCAACTACACCCGAAACATCCCTGGCTTTATTACGACTCTACAATATTGCACCGAGGTCACAGCGACAGAGTTGAGCCCGTGACCAGAGCCAGAATAAGCTTAACAAGGCTTAAATATCCTTGTCCCCAGCACAAAACGCATCAACAATATACACAGAGGAGTCGGGCGGAACCGCCCGCGCCCATGTCATGTTACACAAGCGCGAGGTGCCGGCCAAAATCAATACCGTTCGCGACGTCTGCCAACGCAGCGGGGCAGAGTGTGCGGCGTCAAGTACGGAAAACGTACAGAACACAGCAGAATGCACGCTGCAACCTGTACACGATAGAGCACAAACGGCCTCATCCGATAACGCTGCCACAGCAAACAGTGAAACGGCCGGAGCAGTGAAAACGGCCACGGTGCGTAACAAAAAAATCCCAATGCAGAAAACGAGGCCACAAAACAACAACAGTGAGGAAAGAGAAACCAATGAAAAGCATTCGGCAGCAAAAACACTAATTACACAGTGGGGGTGGGGGGCGGAGTGGAAATCCCAGCACAAAGCAACAACAGCACATAAACAACACTCGGCAAAACGTCACCCAACGGTGCCGGCTGGGTGGCTCGGGAGGGACAGAGCACCAAGCTGATCGCGGTGAGACTGTCTGGGTGTGAATCTTGGGGCAAGCTGGTCCCGGTGAGACTGTCTGGGTGTGAATCTAGGGGTGAGCTGGTCCCGGTGAGACTGTCTGGGTGTGAATCTAGGGGTGAGCTGGTCCCGGTGAGACTGTCTGGGTGTGAATCTAGGGGTGAGCTGGTCCCGGTGAGACTGTCTGGGTGTGAATCTAGGGGTGAGCTGGTCCCGGTGAGACTGTGAGTGTGAATCTAGGGGCGAGCTGGTCCCGGTGAGACTGTCTGGGTGTGAATCTAGAGGTGAGCTGGTCCCGGTGAGACTGTCTGGGTGTGAATCTAGGGGTGAGCTGGTCCCGGTGAGACTGTCTGGGTGTGAATCTAGGGGTGAGCTGGTCCCGGTGAGACTGTCTGGGTGTGAATCTAGAGGCGAGCTGGTCCCGGTGAGGCTGTCTGGGTGTGAATCTAGGGGTGAGCTGGTCCCGGTGAGACTCTCTGGGTGTGAATCTAGAGGCGAGCTGGTCCCGGTGAGACTGTGAGTGTGAATCTAGGGGCGAGCTGGTCCCGGTGAGACTGTCTGGGTGTGAATCTAGGGGTGAGCTGGTCCCGGTGAGACTCTCTGGGTGTGAATCTAGAGGCGAGCTGGTCCCGGTGAGACTGTGAGTGTGAATCTAGGGGCGAGCTGGTCCCGGTGAGACTGTCTGGGTGTGAATCTAGGGGTGAGCTGGTCCCGGTGAGACTCTCTGGGTGTGAATCTAGGGGCGAGCTGGTCCCGGTGAGACTGTCTGGGTGGGAATCTAGGGGCGAGCTGATCACGGTGAGACTCTCTGGGTGTGAATCTAGAGGCGAGCTGGTCCCGGTGAGACTGTGAGTGTGAATCTAGGGGCGAGCTGGTCCCGGTGAGACTGTCTGGGTGTGAATCTAGGGGTGAGCTGGTCCCGGTGAGACTCTCTGGGTGTGAATCTAGGGGCGAGCTGGTCCCGGTGAGACTGTCTGGGTGGGAATCTAGGCGATTGGCCCATAATTAAATGAGTCTCAAGCACTGTGAGTCGCTGGTCTCTTACCCAGGCACCAGTGCCCGCACAATAACAAAAACTCTCACCTTTATGTAAATTGTCATGCTATATTTATTTTTGCACTTAATTTAGCTTAAAATCCACTGCCGAGTCACAGATTTGGTATTACTCCCAAGTACACAAAAGGTGTATGCCTAATGAAGGCCATTTATAAGTAGTTTGGTGACTTCATTTTCAGAGACCCCTCACCGAGTCAGTGAAGTTTCAAATACACTCATGGAAACACTGGAACAATTTTTGTTGTAAAAAAAACTAGTACCGTTCTCTACCGTGGACCAGAGGTCACTTAAAGGGGTCTCAGAGGTAGCTCTGTGATATCCACTTCAAAGGGATGTTCTTGCTGGGGGTGGGAGGTGGTAGGGGGCGACTGATAGGGGGTGTGACGGAACAACGGGGGCATGTTGAACTTCTTTCGCAGCGTACGTAGTCAACCATGCTAATCGGAGGTGCGGTGGGGAAGGACAACAAACTAAAACACAAAAAAGTAGCTCTAAGCAAATTAGTTTTCAATCGAGATTTAAAAGTGCATAGCTCCAATGGCTTCCTAATATCGGGGTGGGGTGGGGGGTGGGGGGGTGGAGTGCGAGGGCAAGGTCACAACGTGGGGAGCAACGGCGCGCACCTGGCGATGATGTCACGCGAGGCCGGGCAGATGGTGAGCAGCAACGCCCAACCGAGCAGCGCGGCGCAGCGCAGCGCCTGCAGCGCGGGGCTGGGGGCCGGCGCCGGCGAGCCCGCGCTAGGGTACGCCGCCGAGAACACCGCCTCCAGGCACTTCATGGTGGCCACCAGCTCCTGCGGACGGCACGCAACAATGATGAGCTGCAGCGGCGGCGACGGCGGCGCAGGCGATGCAAACCGCACCGGGTGCCCACGGGCCGGTGGGGCCTAGACACCGGGCGATGCGGAAGAGGGTGGGGGGAATTGGAGAGAGGGGAAGGGTCCCATTTAATTGTTTTTGCGCCAGGGCCCATGCTGATCGTGCTATGCTACCAAGTGCCGAGTCACCCACACGAGCACAGGCAGGTGTCAAACAGGTGACGAAATAAAGTTGGTTCGAAGCTTTCGTGACTGCAGGAATTAATCTTTGGTTCTTTCAGTAAAGTCACGTATAAATAAGAAATAATAAAATAACATGATAGCGTACAACGTTTCGGTTGCAACACAAGCAGCCATCATCAGGTACAGAAGAGCTCTCTCGTAAATTTGGCTCTTCTGCACCTGATGATGGCTGCTTGTGTTGCAACGGAAACTTCGTACGCTATTATGTTATTTTCTTATTTATACGTGACTTTACCGAAAGAACCAAAGATTAGGTGATGAAATGTTTTAATGGCCCAGTGGGTGGGTATGGAATGCTTTTCATCTCTGTGGTCCCAAATCATGTGCATGTCAGGTCCACCACTGAAGGCCTCCCCCCCTCCCCTGCCTTGCAGACTGTGGTTGTTATGTGACCATTCAATATGGCTGGTTAGCGAGGGTTGGTGAAGGCTGGCATCACAAAAATGGGAGCATATAGGTAGAGTACAACACTTCCCTCTGCTGTCCACCATATATATCTCCGCAGGTGAAAACTTTACGTGCCCGGTGGTTGCCTATCCAAGCATTATCCAGGCTCACCCCTGCTGAGTTCCGAGACTGGATGAGATTGAGTGCATTCTGGGTGATTTGGTCATAGGCTATGGCCTATGACCAAATTTCACACAGGTAGTGAAAATTCAAATGACAAAGAGACTCTTGTGTTTTGTGTACGCGCGTGCCCCAAGTGACACATGGAGCGTCAGCTCCATAGAACACGCAGAAGGATCTTAATCATCAGGCATGTGCAGCATGCGGATCGTGAAGACTGGGGGTTGGAAAAATCTAATCTACACGATTCCATCCCCTCTGGCCAGAGGTACCGTGCACCACATTTTCACTGCACCGACAAAAACAATCCAATAACCAATTTAATGCAACGTATTCCGTCTTTTGTTCGGTGGATACAGGTGATTGTTTTTTTTTTAGAATGAAGAAACCTGCCCGAATATTCAGTATAGATATAGTAATAACAAAAAAACTATTTGCAGAAATCCCCATTAAGGTGTTTTTTTTTCTAAATAAACTCAGGCAGGCAAATTTTATTAAAAGAGTCCCACATATGGCTGTGTGGATTGGTTCTTTGAGCGCCTTTAAAACAGTACATGGATTTGTTTTTAAGAATTTACCATATTTTTCATTCTACAAATTCTTAACACAAGCATCATTTTTTGCTTGGTATTATGAATAAAAAAAAGCCTAAATACTCTTCATAATAAGGGTTTTTGGGTGAGATCGTGTAAGAACACTTTATACTTAGGCGATCTAACCCAAAAACCTCTTATGAATAAGATTGGTCGCGAAAGCCTACGTGTTACACCAAAACTCTATGTTATACAAATAAATGTTTAGTAACCAACCCCCACCCCAAGAGATATTCATTTTATAAACATGCGTTTAAGACTAATTTGGCTGCTATAAATTTCCACGTGAAGATAAGCCACTTCTCGCGAGCTATCATTTCTGATCGCCAGGGCTCTTTTGAAAAAAAAACGAAACAGCTCAGTGGGCCTTACCTGGTTATATAAAACAATTGTTGAGTTTCATTGTAACAAAATGTTTCACCAATTCCAGATTGCAATTCGCGAACTCATATTATGTCCTCTATTTACCATCATCTCGTTAGTATCATTTCTCATTTTCTCCATCTTGTTTGTCCATTGCTGCCCTCCCCGTTAGCCTAAACCAACATTAGCATTTAATTTGCATGTCATTTGCATACTCCATGAATAATTAATTATCACACGTGATTTGTATCAATCATTGATGCATACTAAACGCTGCACGGGGAGCCAACATTTGTCATGGTAAGACGATGCAATCACATGCAGAGACGTGTCCAAATGTAACGTGAGTGAATAAAACCCGTGCCCCGAGCTCTCTGATCTGGTGGTTGCTGCTCCAGAGGGGCACTCAAGAGGTCACCCGGCACACTGAAAAATCCAGCGCATCGCCGCCACTAAAATCTTCACCCTTCCTAGACGAGTGAGCAATTGGCGAGCGAGCAACCATGCCACGAGACGTGTGCCAAGAACGGCAAATGTGCATCGGCTTCAAGAGCATCACCACCAGAACGAGCACTCGCAATTGTACCTCTGAAGGCTTCACGAGAAATTAGTGTGGTGAGCGGCACACATTCTCAAGCCAATTTAAAGTGCCAAAGGATATATTTTTTTAACAAGACTTAGTGACCCGATATGCAAAAGTGAGTCAGCCTAGCCATATATGGGACATTTTTCCAGTTTGAAATTTCACAGACGAGGTTTTTGGGTAATGTGACATTTATTCAAAGTCACGAGGTTGGCAAGCACCAAACTTTCCAGTACTGAGTCACTGTAACAGTTTTATTTTACTGCCCATAATCCAAAGTGAATGGCATATGGTGTTGAAAATGCGTTTTGTAACATTCAAGAAACCTGGCCAAGTTACCTGCTGTAAAGTGGGTTTAAACCAGAGTCAAATGGTGAATATATAAAGGGAAATGTCACCTTCTTTAAGAAACTTAATAAATAGGAAGTACATGCCAAATTTCAACGGCTTTCAAAGTCATTCACGAGTAATAGATATGAATAATACCACATGACTGCTGGGATATGACACCATACCATTTGCTGTTTGTATTAATAAATTCCCTGAAGAGTATCGAAATTAAATACTGACCTGTGAAAATTAGACTGAGGCTGTATCGATAAACCCCGAGAACTTCAGTCATTTATTTCTTCAACCATGCTGAGGACTCAGGTCTATCAGACTGACCATTGCATCTCATCCACACACTTGTGTTCAACCACCACACTTGCAGGTCACCTCACACTCCTCTTTCTGCTTCATCCCTCGCACTGCTCAACTGTGGAATCGCCTCCTCCCATCATTCCCTTTCTGAAGCTCAAGAAATGCATTAACCCTTCAACTGTTGCACCTTCAATGGCGCCGTTATGTTGCTCATCGCTTGACATTTTGGGCCTCTGGGCCTGCAGTCGGCAATTGTTATTTACAAGCCATTGCAACGAAATTCACCGAACACCAAGGCGAGCCCCATGTTATCTTTGCTAATGGTGTTGCATAAAGCTTCGCTTCACCCAACTCGGACCCAACACAACAACGTCGAGCAGCTATCTAGCCCTGTTCATGTTGTGGCTTGCAGCACCGCTTGAACGTTCAACTCACCTCCATTCCATCCGAAATGTAGCAGCACATGGCCAGAGCTGTAGCACACTGCAACGAAGTGCAAATGTGTCGTGTTAGACAGTGTGCGGATTTATTGTGTGTGTGTGTGAAGCAGGTAGAGGTTGACATGAACAAGCCAAGAAATGCACACTTCAAATGTAAAGTGTTGCTTAAATTGCACATTACAGCTGACATCAGGATGCCCAGGTTTGGCCAACTAGAAAACTGTTCATTAACAATAAGCACACATATAAAAAAACAATTGAAATACCATACAAGTATTATATTCAGCACATTTTTATACTTATGTTGTATAGCAAAATATAAAAAAGTTACACAAGATGTAAAATCAAATTGTAGGTATCAACTTTAATGATTAGGCATGTAACGATAGATTAATATTGACTCATGCTCAGATGCATAAAATCATAGCTCCAGTGGCTTTCTAATATCGGAAAGAGCATTCCTGACGGCCGCAGCAGTGCATTTGTAAGCGCGCGATGCAGTGATCGTCTTTGTTCGACGGCTAACCAAAAAGCCGCCGCTGCTGCTGCTGCTGCGAGGACGACCGGAGTTCGCCTGACGGTTCATGCTCCGACGACATCGGCAAAGGTATTGTGGTTCACTTGCGGCAAGCACTTGCGGTGGACGAGCCGAGTGCCAGACAGCACCGACTGACCGTGCCTTGTCGACACGACGGGAGACGTGCAAGCCGAGCGCACTCACGCTCTGCCTGCTGTGCACGCTCGCCGACGCGTTGACGAGGATGCTGGTGAGCACGGGCTGCAGTGTGCGGAAGCACTCCTCCCCCTCGCTGTTGGCCCCCAGCTGCACCACGAGCAGGGTGGCCACCACCGCCGCCAAGGCCTGCTCCTCGCCCTTCCCTGTCGGGGGGCAAAGCGGCGCGTGCGGCGTCGGGAAAGAGGACCATGCGAGCGGTCGTAAAGAGGCAGTGTTTTGCAGCCGGCGCTGCTGCAGCACAGCAGTAACGACAAAAACAACAACGCAATGGAGCAGGGGCAGTTTGTCGTCTCTTTGGGGCTGCATTTTTTTAACTGGCAGAATGTGTTCCAGTAATGGCCTCTCAATGTGGCCTGCCCAAACAAAGAGATGCAGATTAGTGAGTGAGATGAGAGAGATAAGTGACAGCTGATAAGATAGCTGTAGATGAGAGATAACCGAGACAATCAAAAAGAGAGATACGGACAGACCTAGAGAAAAAGAGGTACACACATTAGTGGTGACATGTATAGCAACCATGTCGCAACGTTTGTATCCGCGATGCTTGCCCGGAATATAAAATGCAATAGCCCTGTTTAAATTCACCCTCGTATTATACTTGAAGATGAGTCATGATTGCCTCTCGTCAGCTCCCTTCAGGGTACTCAGATCATGAGTAACCGATTTATGCTGAAGCTCGCTTACGCACTCTGCGACTCTTAGCCAAATAGCTTAATGCAGAAGAAGTGTACGTTTGGGCTTGGGTTGACGGGAATGTTAGTCCATTAACAAGAAACCATTTGTATGATACAGGGTGACTCAACTATATATACCCCAATGATTTCTAATGATCCTCTTACTGCTCAACAGGTGGCTGAACAGTGTGAATGCGGTGGCTCCTTATGTTAAGAGCTTTACAAGATTACAGTGTATTGATATTGGTGGGGAGACATGTCTAGGCTTTGAAATAAATTGAAATAATTATATGCCCGTTACATTCGTGAAGAAATTATAAATGGATCTTCTTGTACATGCGAGCCCACTTGCAACACCATCAGGGACGTCAGCTTCGGCAACATCTAAAATTCCCATTTAGCTCACCTCCGGGAAGCATATCAATTCAGGAACCGACTTAAAAAGAAAAAGTATATTATAGGTTTACGTGTTGAGCAACGGCCCTTCATCTCAGCACACAGAGGCTGTACCTCTCTGGCCTCTCTATGTGGTGTGAGGATTCAATGTCTGAAATGTCACCTGTTATATACTCTCCTTTTCAGGGGAGTGTTATTGATGAACGCATTACGGTTTTGCCATTCGTGATCGTGCACCACCGCCAACACGCTACCACCAAATAATTATTTGTCTGATCGGCAGTGCGTGGACAAAGAAAGTTTTGCGCGGGACAAACGCTCACCTTTTTTCAGACATCGCTCCAACGAGTCAGTGAGCGTCACCCTCCGCTCCGTGAGGAAGTCATAGAGGTTCTTCCTCGACAGGGCAGAGCGCAGGCCTTCCAGCGCAGCCAGGCGGATCTTCACGCTTCGTGACAAGGTTATCGGGTTAGACTATACCAGTAGTCGGCAAACTGCGGCTCCGGAGCCGCATGCGGCTCTTAAACGACCGCTTCGTGACTCGTTGTTTAGTATGCACCACCGTCTCGTATTCGCCACACAGTGCATTGCGGCTCTTGAAATATTGAGCTGTTTTACTGAATTCGATAAAAATGGCCCTTCTTGTTATTTTGGTTGCCGAACCCTGGACTACGCGGTGCGTGGTAAAGGAGCGGCCCTGCAACTGCTTGCTCATGCCACTGCCAATGGAAGGGCCTCCACTGCTAGCACGGTTGGCCAAGTACGGTGCAAAAAAAAGTTCAACATATATACATAGATTGAGAGCCACGCTAGAGGGTACATTTTGACCTACTCTTTCGCGTTGGCCATACATCTTAGAAGAGGTGAAATAATCTACAATTTACCTCACCACACACGACCTACTGATCAACTATGGTGGACCCATGTATACTGCTGGATGGATAGGGATGGGAGAATTTAAGAAATGTGTCCATTGCGTCTATGGCTGTGCGTTAGCTGTTTCAAGTGCCTAAAATCAGTGAATTAATAAACCACTAAATAAAATATTTAAATTCTTATTGCAGTAAATGTGCATGTACAGCCCTCGATCAATTCACTGCTGGATAAGAGCCTCCCCAAACAATAGGGTCATTTGGAGTAATTTGACCATACTGCACCACACTGGCAAGTACATGTTGGTAAAAAATGGGGGAGCTTAGATGAGGGTACATAGAAGTACAGTACAACAAATGAGTTTTCTGCAACTGCCCTCTGCTGCCTAGCACATAGCCCAAAAATAAATCCAAAAGACGACTGTATATATGCAGCGCGAGTCGGCACTCAAGTTCAGCAACACACCTTTTATCCAGGGTACTTTCTATGAAGTCTTTCAACTTGTCTTCAACGTCCTCCTGGTTCGCGTGTTCGTCCGTTGCCTCACCACCCACTGTAACAAACGGCCAGGAATAATAACACATGAGTCGGCAAGGAGAGGCTTCTTTCTATCATCCCAGATAAACGGTAGGATTCACATTGACGAACACATGGCTAACACTGCAGTGTCCCACACATACCTAACGCTGCACAGTACCCTGTGTCTTTGAACACATGCCTAACACTAGAAAAGTGTCCAATGCCAAGATTGCTACAAGTCGTTTAAATTCGGAATTAAATGCAGTCTCTTTCAGAGGCTGACATAAAAATGTGCGAATAAGTTAGGTGGTCCATGCTGCTTCGAGCGAGACCTGGTATATATACGGTGCTTTAAAAATTGTTAACACTTATATGGGACTATGGTTGTAATGGAAGAAGAACGGATAATACACTGTAACATGATAACAAATGTATGTTTAAATAGCTTTAAAAAGTCAACATGTGCCTGAAATCTTCTCCAGTTGGTCTCCAGAGCCCAGAGGCTACACATTTCTTGTGGTATTGTTGCAAATTCTCGTTAGTGTTAAAACAAAAAAATTGAAACACCCTGTTTTTACACAATTCGTTTCCATTGCGGTCAACGATTAAATTAACTCGACAAACACTTGCGGAGAAATATCCCACAAGGCCTTTATCAAGGAAAAGCCATTTTTACCCCAGCAGGAAAACTGTTCAAGTGCACCTGAAATTATGTTATCCAGTAAAAATATCCAACATTAAAATAGACAAATTTCTCAGTGAAGGAAGATACTCCAGACCCAGAAATTGAAATGAAAAAGCAATCAAATTTAGATTGCCAGTAATAGAGTTAGAACGCGTGTCATAACTCACGGTATATCTTTAAAAGCTTTTCACATTAGCCAACAATTTATACACGAGTGGTAAAAATTGTCGCTGGTCTGCATTTTCATAGGGCGGTCACATCATACCTTGTGTATCTGGTGCCAATTCCACAATGTGTGTCCCTTGCATGAGAGAATGAGTCAAAACGTAACCAAAGCAATCCGTTACAATTCCAAACCCCCCACCTCCCCAACTTCAACATGTCCCCCCCTATTCATTTCTCAATTTTTTTCAAAGTAAGCCCTCGGTCACAGGACGACCAACAGCATTTTCAGATAAATGGAATAAACAAAAGCCCAAGCACATTAAAAACAATTTCTGTCATTTGCAAGCATCATCTGGACAGAGCCACAATAAAGCAAGTCCCTGTAACACAAGTGAACGATGGGAATGTTGTGGGGCCAGAGAAGGATGCGGGAAGGGGGATTCGTTGTATGGGCCATATCTTCCCGTGGATGCCCTGGGGATAAATAGGCTGTTGCCCAGACGGCCCAGGCTGTCCCTCGGGCTCATCGCTGTTGTTAGTGCTGAGCACCTGTTGCTTCACCCCCGGGCTGTGCCATCGTTGTTGCGCTGTCCCCTTTCCCACGTTTCCATGCTTCTGACCCCCTTACCCTCCCGACACCCCTCTGTAATCATATCAAGGGTTTTTTTTCCTTGTGACGCTGTTGAAATTAAGACGCAATAGGTTTTGGCGTGGGCACTGCGGCGTATATGCGCGTACCATCCTCAGTGGCGTTGGTGACTTCGCTGGCGCTGCTGCAGTGGCTCCGCGCCTCACTCGCGCAGTCGTCCTCGCTGCAGACCGACTCCACGCCATAGCGAGCGCCGCCGCCGCCACCACCTGCCATCGGTGATACGGGGGTACAGGGAGGGTAGTTTGGGACTTTAATTTCATCACTATCATCAGACACCATCTAGCAGCGGACCTCTCAAAACCATCACCATCTCTCACGTCGCCATGTCTGACATGTCATGGGGCCAAAAATTCAGTCTCCCACTTGCTTAGTTAAAAAATGTTGGCCTCAGGAAACTTCCACTTTTGGTCAATGTAGTTCTCACATGTCGAGTTGGTTTAAACCAAGTTTGAAGTTTGTTTAAGCAGTCACTCCATGGCATTTGCTACATGCTTCCTGCTGGTTTAATTCATGTTTGGAATAAAGTAAAAAATGCTGCTCAAAGATTTAAAGTTTGGCTTGGACAATTTCAAGTCACACAACTCACTGGGAACTTGAACAATATTGGCATTTTTCCCCGGCAATTTCTGCACCACACACACATTGGTTTCTCACCATCATACATCCTTTAAAATCACCTCATGAGCAGAATGAATGTTCCTCATTGCATTGCAATCATGCAATAAAATGTACTAACATTTTAGATGCAGATGCAACATTGTGACATTGCTCCGAGTGCAAATTCACACTGGGACATAAGAGGCCATTGAAAGCAGACTTGCGAAGCCATGCCAACATCCAAACGGCTACTGGAAGCATTGGCAGAAATGCGCCATGCTTTATAAAACACACACACACACACGACTTGCTAAAAACGTACAGATTGATTGCAGATCAAGTATTCATGTCTAATTTGGAGCACAAGTTAATAAAATAATCACGCTTCTATTTGCGATAACGATTTTTTTTACTTGGCAGAGCTAAGAGGCGATCTTAATCGCCTCGTAAATGATTAACTTGATTGGGAAGTATGTGTTTGTGCTTTTAAGTGAAAGGGCAGGTAAGGGTTCCTTCACCAGACCAGTGTGTAAAGAGCAGTGGAACAGTGTCTCTGTAGTTCAAGCACTGGACTATGATGAACCCAGCGAGTGATATTGGAGCTCGTCCTAAGCCTCACCCCCAATTTCCACCGACAATGACTAGCATGGTGAAATATGGTGAAACAACACCCGTGACCGAAACAACACCCGTGACCGAAACGACATGGCACGAGGCCTTCATCCACCAGTGGGACCAGACAAGAGGGCTACGTATAACTTAACATCTAATTTATTTTACAGTACATGATATACACACACACTGTTATCCACAGCACACACAAATGCCGCAAGCACAGTGCCCACAGCTGCGTAGAGTCACACGGAGATGACGACATCGAGTAAACTCGGCAACCGACGTCAATTGCAGCTAGTTTTTTTTACGATGGCTATCGTAATCGGAGGACATGTTTATGCCTTCGTGTACACAATACGGGGAGGATTCCTCACTCCAGTGCGCTGTTTGGATGGGCTGAGAGAATAAGGAAGTTTTAAAAAACAGGACTTGCACCACCCAAGACGACAGAACACGAGTGGGAAATTCTGACAACACTCCCTTTATTGAATCTCAATGTTCATATACAGCATTTGTAGATACCCTGCTATCTCAATACAGGGAGATCCATTTGGATATTCCACTAACAGGGCAGAGACATTAGTGGAAACTTATCTCAAAACCTTCACACGTCTCCCACCAATCTCACTTATCGCATTACAACTTATAACACGAAGCCATCCCTTTGACAATATTCAATCACCCATTAAGAGGGATTATTAGAAATTAGCAAGGTATCTACAAATGCTGTATGTGAACATCACATAAGACTATCAGTACAGTGTAGTTTGTAAGATTGTGCAACTGTTCCTCTTGGTTTAAAATATTACAATCGAATATTGTGTGTTGCTGTGTCAACTATCCAGTCAACAATATTCCCCAAACACAGCGACAGCATTCTATAAGTATCACATGATGTTCTGACTTTCAAATGTCAGCAGAGCTTACACCCTATTGCACGCGGTGAAAAGTAGTGACAAAGGTCAGACAAAACCAGGTATTTTAACAACCTCATGGGTGCTACGTTACAAAGACAATGTGCCAACTGCATGTACAATTAGCACCCAGACAATATTTAAAAGTGAACTTAAAGTCACAGCTACATAATCAGCCATGGTGAATCCACTGCTGGATGAAGGCCCCCCCAAGCCACCACACCATCTCTAACAATCGTGTGATGTAATTATGAACGAAGTGAACACGAGCTGATTTTATGTAATCCTCGATATCAGTGTGAACGAAATAATGGATGATAGTTTGTTAAGCATTGTGTATATACACACCCAGGGCAGTTTGTCGCGCATTCATCTCACTGCTCCAGGAGTGCAGCTGTAAAGATATACTAGTTCCTGCCCCCCCCCCCCAACCTCACATTACAGCCTCTACAACGTGACTAAGCAGGTCAGCACCAATTCATTACTTTGACGGCGAGCACACACGTATTGCCGGTACGGCGATCACACGGCTGCCGTGTCAGATTTACCCGAAGCAGCAAAAGTGCTTCTTCTCGTGCCTTGCGTGGTCGGGGAAGGGTGCCAAGTCCCAAACCATTCCCACGTGCAAGATTGTGGGTGAAAGCTACCCAATAAGTTGGACACGTGCAAGCCCCCTTGGTTAATCCACTCCTGGATGGGGGTGGAGGGAATCCCTTTACACCATGGGCCGGCAACCGGCGGCTCTTTAAAGGACTGCGTCATGACGTTATTCACGTTGCGGCTCTTGATATATTGAGGGTTTTATTTTTACCGAATTTGATACAAAAAATGGCTCTTCTTGTTATTTTCGTTGCCAAGCCCTGCCCAACACGCTGTGGATCGCGGGGGTTATTTTAACTCCTTCACCATGCTGGTAAGTACTGGTTGTTGAAATTGAGCACAGATGGAAGCACACAGTACATTGACGGGGTTTGCTGTACTGCCCTCAGCTCACAACGTAGCCCAGCGACAACGTCAAACGCATTTAAAGCATGGTGGTCACCCATCCAATCGCTATCCAGGCTCAAACCTTCTATAGCTGCTGAAATCTGATGAGTTGGGGTGCATTCAAAGCGATTTGGTTATAGGTCTACCTAATGACCAGGCATACGTACTCATGACATGCGAATTTTGCGAGCTCACTTGTGTAATGATGGCAATTCATGGTACGTGGCAGGAAAGTGGGCAAACATTTCCTACACAACACCACTTGATGGTGAGCAGAGCAGAGTGATATGTTCCCAGAGATATTTTCCCACAGGGAATAAACGATGGCACGTCCACAGTGGACTACATGGTAGGCAAAGGAGTGCCATCAAGCCAACGACGGCACGACAACTATGTTTGGCCAACAGTGGCTTGAAGTTGGGCAACATGAATTCAACAGCATCAGTGTTTGGAAACTACAATGAGAGCGGCGTGGATAAAAAGCAAAGTCACGTGGCACAACACCACAAATTAACTGCTCGATGTTTTATTGCATTAATAAAGTGTTACTAAAGCATTACATAAGCTGGTTTACAATTACGCTCCTTGAAAGCAAGGCAGGTGTGCTTATATCCAGTGTGCTTAAATCACAAGTTGCCCAAGTAAAGGTTGAACTCTGTAATTGATTTCTCAAGCCATTGCTGGTGGAAGAGCATCCACTAGAGGAAGCTCTCGAGAGCTCGTATTTGGCCTACTCTTCCACACTTACGAGATGAGGTTGGGGTACAATCACTTAACCACATGACACTCGACCCGAATATAACCCGTGGTCTACCCATTTATATTGTTGGGTGGAGAAAGGCGGGGAGGTTTAAGGAACTCTGCACCATTCCTTGAACTGCCACGCCGGGAAATCCAAATGGAACCGGTGACGTCAGGATTACAAGTCCAGTGTGCTGACCGTTACACCACAGCAGAATCATGCCATCAATGTAAAGACGTGTGGCTTCAATGAGGACCGTGCTTATTTAATGATGTGCTTACACCCCCCGCTACAGTACGATATGCCAAGGCACCACCATCACTGCACCTTTGATCGGAGCCAATTTGCCCGAGGTGTTGACGTCAAAAAGATTAAACCTCACGGAGCCAGGGAAATAGCAAGGACATTCGGATTTACATTACCCATGAGACGACTCACAGACACAAGGGCCTTAACCCTTATAACAAAAAAAATGGATTAATCCATAACCCCACGCGTGTACAATTCCCAACACTAAGTGCCAACTGCTGGAGTGACAAGGGGTTGCCAACATTACCAATGACCAGGCATAGGGTGGGGGGCAATGCCTTGCCATTGCATGCAGCAGCCACTCTGTGCCAATATAACCGTGTTAGCAGCAGTCTTACTTTCTCACGCAGCAGTACCAGCAGCAAGTCAGCTGGTTTTCTTCACTTTGTACTGGTTTTAGGGTCATATATTCCACGGCAGGCGAGTTACTTTGGTTTACTGTGAAGGTGGAGGCCGTGGTATATACTACATCTTTAAGTGTTTAGAACTTTACAAAGTGACCCTGCCTCAATGAGTAACACAAATTCATGGCCGTAATTATTTTTGGGGGAAGGGGAATCGGGGAAAAAAAAGTTTTGGAATGTTTATAGTTACGAGTGAATTGAGGCAGTATAATGTACATCAAGCGCTCCTACGTAATACAAGGTAATTATACAAATTAACCTTTAGTCTACCGACACAAGAGACCTTCTTGGACACCGTTAGAATTGACTTTACGCAGTCCCGTGAGATGATTTACATGAGACGTGTGTGTGCAAAAGTTTAGCAACTTATATAATCTATACGGGAGGGGCACACAAGCCCACCACAAACAACGCGTCAACGTTTAAAAGTACTTCAGTCCTATTCTGGCAAATCGCCCGATGATGCTGGTTGATGTAATTACCAGCGAAACGTCGGACTACTCAAATTGTTAATGTTGTGGATTTACTCTCCAAACACACCGGTGGGCTGAAGTAGTAAACTAATTGGCGCGTTGTTGTTTCCGTGACAATCCTTACTGGCTGTGTCGGGGTGGTGGAGGGGTTACGACACACCTTTATTATAAACAATATCGATCGCGAAAGCCCCCTGCGTGTTAAAGTAACTTGCGTCCCACCACCCCCGATGCACGGAGCCTGCTCCGACGGGGAGCCTCAAGGGACGCAACTTTCTCCATCCACCGCTAGATACGTCCAACTCACACGACAAGAGAACGAGGCGATCGGGTCAACAATCACAGCCGTGGGCAGAGGAACGGGTAGGGACATTCCACGTTCGCGCGACGGGTCCAAGTCCGTCCGTAAACGTTATCGACGACCGCATTGAGCCCAATTTAAAGACCGATAACAATCACGGGGGTGATGGGCGGCCTCCCCGCTTTAACCGGGCGGCGCCGTCGGCGTACTTGGGAGCGATCTGATAACCGACAACGTTTAACGTCGTAAAATTAGGAACAATCTAATGTAATGGGTACCGAGACGAGGCCGTCCGTACGGGGGGGTGAAGCCTGGCGTAGGCCGCAAGCACGCCGCTCCTCACCTTTAGTGCCGGAGCGTTTCTTACACCTTGGCATCGTCTCGTCTCTTCGTCGCTTTCTTATTCTTCTCCTGCTGCCCTCGCTTCCTCGCTCGCTCCTGTTCTACCAAAAACAACTAAAACACCTCGAGGTGACGACAAAACGCGCGGGAAACGAGCGGGAAGCCCCGCCGAGGTAGACGATCGGGAGTGGCTGCTGCATGGTCGAAGATGCCGGACTGACGATGATGATGGTGGTGGGTTGGTTTGGTGACTGACAATTCTTACATTTCCCAGCTCGGATACGAGCACCCAACGCGTTCTCGTTTTTTTTACTCCCCCCCCTACCTCCACCTCTCCCTTCCGGAAGATGCAGGCCACACACACACACGTACACCACACACACACGTGCACCACACACACGTACACCACCACACGTACAACACCACACGTACAACACCACCACTACTGCTCTGCGGATCGTGATACTCTTCCGGAAGATGCAGGCCACACTCACCACACACACACCACACGTATACCACCACACGTACAACACCACCACCACTACCGCCGCTGTTGCTCTGCGGGCCGTGAGACTCTTCCGGAAGATGAATGATGGCAGCGCCACGTGGCTTACTGTGGCGCGCGAACGCACGCGGCCTGTGTGGGGCAAAGCCGGCCGGCTGACTGACCCAGTGGGTGTGTTGGTGTCATCGCTGTGTGTACAGTGCTCAGTGTGTGTGTAGTGATCAGTGTGTGTACAGTGATCAGTGTGTGTGTGTGGGGAGCGGTGGTGTCGCGGGTAGCGCTCACGGCCTACACCAAGTGACGATTTTCTGAATCGGTCCCAGGGCCTCCCCTAGATCGACTCGGCCTCAAATGAGTACCTGGTGCGGTGTAAACATTGCCACTAGGGAGACAAAGGCGGTCGGGCGTGGTGCTGGCCACCCACCCCCTCGTGTGCCGTTCTGGCCTTCATAGGTGCTCGCAAACAGCACTTGCCCCTACAGTCTGTTACAGACTATACGGGGGAACTTTGTCTTTGTGCGCACAGAACCAGCCACGTGGCTACTGTAGACATTAGCAGGTTGGTCGCTGTTGTTCACGTCAATCTGTCGACATGTGTGCGCGACTAGAGTAGCGTCGCCGATTGTTGCACGTCTAAGCCGTGCTCCTGTTCGTGTAAGAGGCCACGTGGCCTCGGGAACCATTGTCACAGCGAACAAACGATTAAGGGGTCGTCCATAAATGACGTCACGCGATTTTTGACCCCTCCCCCCTTCGTCACGGCGGCACAAAAAGTCAGACCCCCCCCTCAAATATGACGTCACGAAGTCAGACCCCCCCCCCCCAAAAAATTAAACATGCTTCAAATCACTTTAAACTATTGTCATTGTAGTGCGTAATTAATGTGGCGCTGCACTCTGATGTTGTAGGAGAAAACATTTATTTAAAAAGTCTATTAAATTAAGTAGAACGTGTCTATATTTATTTATAAAGTTGCGCATTTTGATGTGACGTCATATTTCTCAAACCCCCCCCCATCGTCACAAATGTCTGACACCCCCCTAGGTGCATGGCGTCATTTATGGACGGCCCCTAATCAACTGCTTTAAAGTCGATGAGATCGATATGGTGCGAGCTCCGAGTGTTGTTTTTTCCCCCCGATAGGGTTCAATGGTGAAGGCGTGTAACTGAAAGCGGCACGACCGTGGGAATCCTCCCAGTTTTATAATCCTCCAGTATCCCTCTTCTGATTGTGATCGAGGGAACTGTGATGTGAATAAAGCCACAAAAACTCGCCTGACACACACACACGTGAGTTGCATGCAGCTACAAGATATGAGCTGCGATACTGTGCTTTATTGATTCGGGGTTGAGTCCTCCTTTCGTGGTCACAGTCCATTAGTTATGTACAACTCTTTGTTCAACACATTATACTGCTGATGGCTTTTCCCCCATATGCCGGGTCGCTTGTGTGGGGTGGATGTTTGACCACAACGTCGCCAAATGCGGGGTGATGGAAGTGCCCAGGACCTGTTTCACTCTGCACCCATTCCAAGACCCAGTCCATGCCCGCTGGAGCGGTGGCGCAATGATTCGGGGCCGTCCATAAATGACGTCACACGATTTTTGACCCCCCCCCCCCCCCGTCGTCACGGGGCATCACAAAAAGTCAGGACCCCCCCCCCTCAAATATGACGTCACGAAGCACTGCCCCTCCCCCCTCAAAACAATAAAACATGCTTCAAATCGCTTTAAACTATTGTCATTGTAGTGCGTATTTAATGTGGCGCTGCACTCTGATGTTGTAGGAGAACATATTTATTAAAAATTAAGTAGAACGTGTTGTCTATATTTATTTAAAGTTGCGCATTTTCATGTAACGTCACATTTCTGAACACCCCCCCCCCCCTTGTCACACATCGTCACAAATGTCTCTTAGGTGCGTGACGTCATTTATGGACGGCCCCTTACCGCACTGCACTTCCAAGTAATGTTGAACCCACGGCAGTCGTCGGTGTCGAATAATAACTCTACCGGTCCTGGATGACCCATTCACAACAATCCCTGCACTGACCAGCGTGGTGAAGTATGGGCAAACACCCCCCTCCATGACCTAACACACCGTTTGGGAGGCCTTCATAAAGCAGTGAAATTGAAAAATAGCTTAAACTGTATTTAATGTTATTAAAATCAACTGGCCATGGAAACACGAATAATAATAACGGGTGACAACAGGAGGTTAAAAATAAATGTTTAGAAGTTACAGTGTACTCTTTTTACAGTGTGGCTACTGATACCCAATGTTTGGCAAGTGTTTAAAAATACTCGGGGCGAGATATTTAAATGCACACACCGTGGCATGAGACATCTCCGCTTGTGAACGCTTCAACAACAACATTCACCGTGCACGTCATGATTCAGAAACCAGGATTCCACAGACCCCCCTATAGACTCATCAGGAAATCACTCAGCGTGCCATTATAATAACGAGAGCCGGAATAGTCCGAACGCTCATTCCGCGAATTATTTTGGCATCCACTCGCCCACCCACAATTTGTCCTCGTAATATTTATAAACCTTCTTGGTTCTTTCGGTAAAGTCACGTAGAATGGAAATAAAATAATAAAAATAAAACAATACAATAACATATTTCCATTCTACGTGACTTTACCGAAAGAACCAATAAGATGAATCCCTGCAGTCACGAAAGCTTTAAATCGAAATTTATATACCTCTTCGTATGATCACGGGAATACAGGGTGCATCATAACGATACATATAGCCCGTTGGTATCCACTACACATTTCGTAATTTCTCTCCACTTTCCCCTCGCTTGTGCCAATATGCTCAAGTAGTGCACACCTTTGTAGCACCAATCGCTTATATCGGTTGCGATAATATCGAATTATCATTAGGTGTAACTTGTACCGCAGTGATAACCCCTACTCCAAGGCAGACTATCAGCTTGTGGGAATATATTGAGTGGGAAATTAAGCCCTGAGCGTGACGATGCATCACGTTGCATTTGTTAAGATTCGATGCAGAGCTGAGTTATATGATTATTCAAGTGATTGATTTGCGATTAACACGTTTGATCACTCGAGTAATCGGATAGCATAAATATTTCACGAAATGATTCACCTCTGTCTTCCTGTGTGTGCCACTGGACGGGAGTAATGGGCGGTACTTGTGAATGAAATCGTCATCAGATGCGTTACGCTGGGCGTGGTTTATTGGGGTTTCCCGCATTCGCGAGGCAGTGTTGGGGTGGCCACAAAGTTTGAAAGGGCCAGACTAATCCACCACATAACAAATGATCAATTGCAATATTTGGTCGATTAATCGACGTATCGGCCAATCTCTATTGTTCAGAAAGTAACTCAGATTGACACAAGGCGTGTAATATACAGTGCAGTAACAAGGTGTGTAATATAGAGTGCAGTAACAAGGGGTGCTATGCGCAGTACAGAGACGGTAAGATAAAGACGGAGACAGACAGGTCTCTATATAAGATCAAAGGTTTTTCTGGCTGGCTGGGAGGGACGGACGGTCTCGTCCAAAGGAGGTGTGAGTTGCTGCTTGATGCGAAACTAAAGTTAAAGGTAATTTATTATTGAATCAAATCGCAACTAATGTGCATTGCAAGGGAGTGGGGGGAATATTCGTTGCATTGCAATAATAATAGTAACACAAATATTTTAAGTCCCTCGGCCAATTGGCTTTCCAGATCAATGTCTGGCTTTCCGGACCAATGTCATCCTGCAACATTTGTTTTGTAGCAAAGCAAACCCCCGGAGTGGCTTCATCCTTGCGTGTCTGATCAACGGAGCCAGGCTTGTTAAAATATTGTTCTACAAAAGCCCCGTAGACTGTAGGGACTAATTTAAAAAAAAAACTCCCCCATTCTGTTTAACACGTAGGCTTTCGCGGCCAATATTATCCATAATAGAGGTTTATTTGGATTAGATCACGTAAATATATGAATGTGTCGTTAAAACCCGCCACCACCCAACACAGCCAACTAGTAAGGGTTGTCACGTAAACAGAACGTGGCCAATTCGTCACTAGTACAGCACGCCGGTGTGTGGAGAGCCAAGCCACAACGTTTACAATCTGAGTACGACGTTTCGCCAGTAATTACAAATAGCTTCATCAGGCGACAGCCATATTTGTGTTGGCTGTGTCGGGTGGTGGCGGCTGTTAACGACATATTTACGCGATCTCCCCCATTTTATTTGTCGAAAGATTAACAAAAGGACAATTATTTACGACCCATAAAGCACCGACGGTGCATAACGAGTTGCGGTTATAATAAACGGGCATGGACAAATTAATGTTCCCGCATTCAACCTGCACTGCCCCACGTGGTGAAGCATAGTCAAATAACCCCCCAACAACAACCCGCATAGCATGGGCATTCCCCTCATCCAGCGGTGGATTTACGCATGGGGCTGTTCGTACGGAGTAACAAAGACATTGCTCCTGGTACAAACGTCCATCTCTCAACACTCAACTAAACCGATCTTCTATCCGTCAACGGTGGGTTACGGCAGCCCATCACAAACCCACCTTGCTGACAGCAAAGTTACACTATTCGTTTTTATGTACGGTATTGCGTTCATCATGACCGGGGATCGGCAACCGATATAACAAGGAAAGACATTTGTTTTCGAATTCGGTAAAAAAAATTAAGAGCTGCAATACACGTGGTGAATACGAGACGGTGGCTTTTCAATAAGTAACATCGCTAAGCGGTCCTTGAAGAGCCGCTACCTGGGACTACGGAGTCGCAGGTTACCGACTTTCTGATCATCACTCTGCGGTTATTGGCGACTGCAATGACAACAAATCCTGATGGCTACACACACTGGGTAGATTCAAAGCTTTTTTCCTCGTGAATGGGGGAAACATATATAAATAGAGTAACCGTGCTGGATTTAACAGCTGTGGTCTGCACGGGGAAATGTTCCCGTCTATTTTTTTTAGTAATCTGAAAAATCCGCTTTTTGTTTCGAATTTATGAAATGGCAAGGCATTCTCGGGAAATTGCATCATTTATGAGGTCACCAACGCGATTTTTTTCCCCCGCGGCATGTGGTGTCACGTGGCATCGGATGAGGTACAAACACGTTCGTAGAGTGTTATAATTATCATCATCACAATTATCATA